AAGTTGAGTAACATAGGTTCGAACTCAACTAGTCAGATCAATTCCATAACGATTACAAATATGCCTAATTGATAGGTGTAAACTAACATCAAATATAGTTTAAAGAGAGTTTTCTTTTAACTGACTTAAAGCCCCTAATAGTACATAGTAGTATTCTGATCTTGTAACATAAATATCAAGATTAAGCTGAAATAAACGCCAATTCTATTCAATATAAAATTATCTTCAGATCAGACGAGACAAATTATGACTTCGTAGTTGTGTTACGTCGTGTTCATGTGATTAATACATAAACTCTTATGAGTTGTTTTTTTGGCTTATAAGTGTCGATGGTTTATCGGATCGTTATATTCATTTTCTGACTGTCTATTTGTGATAGAAGGAGTTCATTGGACGAATACGATTTATGGTTTAATGGTTGTTGTTGTTGTTGTTGTTGTTGTTGTGGTGGTGGTGGTGGTGGTGGATTATTTCTGTTATCGTTCAAATGTAAGTCATTAATACAACAGACGTTAAGAGAACTTGTGACAATTAGACTGTATAAATAAATGCTCCTAATTAGCCTGCAATGTAATAAAAGCTTAAAGTCATGCTAACATCAAATAATCATTGTTGTATGACACATGGGCATGTCTAAAAATATTCTCTGTTATATTATGCGCTGCTCATGAAATACTATTCCCTTAATATTGTTTCCTTGTATCTTCCCTTTGTTTATAACTACAACGGATCAATCTCTTGTTACGGTATGTGCATCCTCTGTGAACTGTTTCGATATTGCCTTCAGTCACAAATACATACTATGATATTCAATATAGTACGCATCACATTCACTTATTAGTAGTAGGGATCAATAACATGTACTACATTTCAAACAGTTAATTAATACATTTCAATATCTGTTCGTTTGTTTATAGACCACAGTATAATAAACAAATAGCTTTTAATTCAGGAGTTTAGTGGATATTAATAGTAATTTTAATAGTTCAGATCATGAGCCAATCTAAGCTGGATCATTGTTGAAAACCTGGAAGCACTGGATAGCCATTTCATCCTATTGTGGAACTTCTCTGTGGCAGTACGTATCCACGATTCCGCTCACACGATTCATACCCAGTACCTATCGATCTCGCGCATGAACGCTTAAACACTAGACCACTAAGTCGATATCTTTTTCCATTCTTCTTCTTTTTCTTCTTCCTCTTCCTTTCCTTCTTCTACAATGTGTCGTTATGATCTTATATTGAATGAAAAAACTTATCTATTAATTATTATTATTTTCTTTTTCTTTTTAACCTTCTATTTTTTTTTTTTACTTTATCGAATGACCTTTTGACCTGTACACTTCATTAAAATAAAACATAACGGAAGACAGTAATTAAATGAATTAAATGGTAAACCATTTTTCTACTAAAAACAAAAAAAAAAGAAAAAAAACTTTTTTCTTTGCGGTTTTCTTTCGTATAAAATAAAAATTTTTTTAAAAAAAAACTATTCAATATTGAACATTAAATGATTAATCGATTGGATTCAGTTTTACTGTAGTTGTCTCGATATTATTATAACCTTTCAAAGCTGTTTTACCTATGTGTGTGCGTGTGCGTGCATGTGCGTGTGTGTGTGTGTGTGAATGTTAATGCATAGGTATGTATGTATGTATGTGCGTGTGCATGTATGTTTCAATATGAAGGAGAAAATGTTGTGTTCAATTCCAATATCTAAATTATACTATAATCTGACTAAAGTCAGAGTAGTAACTGTGATAGAATAATATGGATTCATTTTATTGAATTATTTCTATTCACCTATTTATATCTCTATTTTGTAATGACTTAGATGATGTAATATTAAGAAGTAGATATTAGTGAATGTAAAAAGAAATTATCGTATCAGAAGGGGTTTTATGGAGATTGTAGTAATTTCAACAGTTGAGATCATGAGTCAGTTGAAGCTAGACCACTATGGGAAACATGGAAACACTGAATAGTCGTTTAATCGTAGTATGGACTCCTCATTAGTGTGCATCCACGACCCCGTTCCGCAGGATTCGAACCCAGGACGTATCAGTCTCACGCCAGGCGCCTAACCAAGTAGATCACTCAGCCGGCATCCAACGGTGTTAATATGAACAACCATTTATAAAGCTTGTGATTTCAGGCAGTTCGTATAGGATGCACATATACCAACAAATGGCTGATCAATTACAGTTCTAAATAACATTGGGAAGAGACAAATAAAACAACATCAAGTGAACAATTTACAAAAGTTGCCAAAACTATAAAAACTGATAACCTGAGTTACATAGCAATTATAATAGATGCAAATGGTTTACATTAGTTTTAAGAAATAAGTAGATTTGAAGCACAGATAAGTTAGTAATTTAATAGTTGAATTCACTAGCCAATCTAGACCACCATGAAAAAAATGGAAACACTAGATTTGACTCATGAATTCAATGACTATAGTCCATAAAACCCCCTTCTAATAATAATCATCATGCGCTCATTAGTGACTGGATTCAAGAGGTATTTCCTGGAGTTCTAGTGAGAATTCATGACCAGTGGAGTTCAAACAGGTCTGTTGCGAGATAGTAAGTCACTGAAACAATAGTTGATGTGTCGCTGAATTTCATGGATTAGTTGAAATTAGACATCAACACCGTTGAATGCCAGAACAATGGTCTAATGGTTAAACGTTCGCGCGCGAGACCAATATATTTGTGTTCGTATACTCCGAGTGGGATCGTGGAGGTGCACTACTAAGGAGTGACACAATAAGACGAAAAGGTCGTTTAGTGCTTCCAGGTTTTTATGGTGGTCTAGCTTTAATTGACTCATAAATAACGTTTGGCTAAATTAAGTTTATATAAGAAAATATAAACAATAGTAGCTGGAGATGATTTTAAACCAAATTATGAATTGATCATGGTAGCGATTAATTCATAATGGACTCTCTATGTAAACATAAATATAGATTTAGTTCTTTAAAGAACACAACTATTCCATTATAACTAGTATAGGGGTTATGGAGATTATTAAGTTTTTGATTGAAATCATGAATCGATTGATGTTAGACCACCACAATTGAAAACCTGGAAGCCGTTTCGTCCTATTGTGGGACTCCTCAGCAGTGCGCATCCACGATCCCGGTCGCGGGATTCGAACCCAGGGCCTTCGGTCCATTGTAATCACTTGGTGTTTCCTAATGAAATAAAGAAATTGCCAATCATGAGAGGGGGGTTATGTTTACATACTTCAGTATTTATAGTAAGACTTTTTATTTGTTAAACATCCCAATATGCGATTAAGATGCATAATTAGTGAGTAACAACAAATTTTTAAAAAATGAAGAAAATCTTTGCATAACACATTATATTGATTTATTTCTTGTAATACGGATTTATTCCCTTGGATTTACTAAAGATTTTATTTTCAACTAAATATCATGTATAAAGCAGTCAGCCAGTCAGTCAGTCAGTAACAACGTGGGACCTCGTACGTACGTACATCAGTTCGAGTTGCCACACCACATTAGCATAGAGATGCAGTGGTCGATTCAAGAGTATAAGCAGCAATCGGGAAGATTAGTGTTTGGAGATGTTAATTAAAGAGTATGATACAGTGAAATAAATTTGAGAGGAGAAAAAAAAGAGACAGCTTCGGTCGGGATGTATAAAGCACTTAATCACTTAAACAAATGACTTCACTACAACTGAATTGAAATAATTCGAATAGCACTAATGGACTAGAAAAAAGATACGGTATTGATCAATACTCAATGACTATTCAATGTAAAAATATGAACCCTATAAGAAGTCAGTTGCTGTCTAATAACTCAACGCTAACATCTTAAATTGTAAAACTGGGTGACATGGTTTCTAAGCCTATATGAATCACTATTTCTTAAAAGATTTTGGGCATATCTCACTGAATAGTCCCAATTAAAATGCGATACAAGTCAATCAGGCATTCCTATCGATTATCTCAAACCACCTGACATTGGATAATGTTTACGAACACCAATAATCGGCTGATATTTTACTGAGTTGGTATATGTGGTATTTCTTATCTCCATAAAAATTAATAAATATGGAACGTAAAGAAATAACAAATAATATCATATTAAATTATTTTATATTTTGCAATGAAATATCATGCTTTATAAGCAAAGATGGATAGTGGCTATCAGTGGAATCCAGGTTGACTACAACCCAGTACCATTCGTTTCAAACGCCATCGTGTTATCTTCTTAGGTAATAAGTCCTGATAGTCATCTGCTTATGCGATGAGGGCAGTTCAAATACACTTGGTATTGTTTACTTGAATCGTCTCATTGATGTTGAGTCGTAGAGTGAACATCAACTCTGAAATGAAGGTACATCCAGATGATGAATCCCCAACGGGACGAAACGCGCGTCAAATTGGATTTCACTGCTAGCCTATATATATACGAATATTCTATCCGCCATTTTAGGGCCTATTCCCAATTATCTGCATACAGGAGTTTGGTTTATGGAAGATATATGCTATGTTATATGATCTGTAGTGTTTAACATATTACGAATTAACGTAAGGAATCTCTTTAAGAACTGTCAAACACTCTATTCAACAATGTGAATTAATGTTTAGGTAGTGACTAATCTTCAAATTATATATCACTGTATGTTATGATTTTGATAGTGAAAACATACAAGTCAATTATCGGTCATAAAAATGATTTAATTTCAAAGTGTGAAAAGTATACTTACTAGTCAATAAGAAATCTAAACAACACAACAACTAAGAAGTGTTTGCCTTTTATGAAAAAAAATCAATTCCGTTGACATTTTCCTTAAGAGACTATTCGATTGTATGTATTGTATTTAATGTTATACAAACACACACATACAGAGAAATATTTCCAAAAACAAACAAATCTATACATAAATAAATGTAATATACGCTTTATAGATTGTCATGACCCTCTGCTTGTAAGCTGACGTTTAATAAAGAAACAATAATATGAATGAACACAATGGTAGCAAACAAATGAAAATTATAGTATTGGATGTTTCCATGTGTAAGTCCATATGGACATCATCATCATCATCATCATCATCATCATCATCATCATCATCATCATCATCATCATCATCATCATCATCATCATCATCATCATCATCATCATCATCATCATCATCATCATCATCATCATCATCATCATCATCATCATCATCATCATCATCATCATCATCATCATCATCATCATCATCATCATCATCATCATCATCATCATCATCATCATCATCATCATCATCATCATCATCATCATCATCATCATCATCATCATCATCATCATCATCATCATCATCATCATCATCATCATCATCATCATCATCATCATCATCATCATCATCATCATCATCATCATCATCATCATCATCATCATCATCATCATCATCATCATCATCATCATCATCATCATCATCATCATCATCATCATCATCATCATCATCATCATCATCATCATCATCATCATCATCATCATCATCATCATCATCATCATCATCATCATCATCATCATCATCATCATCATCATCATCATCATCATCATCATCATCATCATCATCATCATCATCATCATCATCATCATCATCATCATCATCATCATCATCATCATCATCATCATCATCATCATCATCATCATCATCATCATCATCATCATCATCATCATCATCATCATCATCATCATCATCATCATCATCATCATCATCATCATCATCATCATCATCATCATCATCATCATCATCATCATCATCATCATCATCATCATCATCATCATCATCATCATCATCATCATCATCATCATCATCATCATCATCATCATCATCATCATCATCATCATCATCATCATCATCATCATCATCATCATCATCATCATCATCATCATCATCATCATCATCATCATCATCATCATCATCATCATCATCATCATCATCATCATCATCATCATCATCATCATCATCATCATCATCATCATCATCATCATCATCATCATCATCATCATCATCATCATCATCATCATCATCATCATCATCATCATCATCATCATCATCATCATCATCATCATCATCATCATCATCATCATCATCATCATCATCATCATCATCATCATCATCATCATCATCATCATCATCATCATCATCATCATCATCATCATCATCATCATCATCATCATCATCATCATCATCATCATCATCATCATCATCATCATCATCATCATCATCATCATCATCATCATCATCATCATCATCATCATCATCATCATCATCATCATCATCATCATCATCATCATCATCATCATCATCATCATCATCATCATCATCATCATCATCATCATCATCATCATCATCATCATCATCATCATCATCATCATCATCATCATCATCATCATCATCATCATCATCATCATCATCATCATCATCATCATCATCATCATCATCATCATCATCATCATCATCATCATCATCATCATCATCATCATCATCATCATCATCATCATCATCATCATCATCATCATCATCATCATCATCATCATCATCATCATCATCATCATCATCATCATCATCATCATCATCATCATCATCATCATCATCATCATCATCATCATCATCATCATCATCATCATCATCATCATCATCATCATCATCATCATCATCATCATCATCATCATCATCATCATCATCATCATCATCATCATCATCATCATCATCATCATCATCATCATCATCATCATCATCATCATCATCATCATCATCATCATCATCATCATCATCATCATCATCATCATCATCATCATCATCATCATCATCATCATCATCATCATCATCATCATCATCATCATCATCATCATCATCATCATCATCATCATCATCATCATCATCATCATCATCATCATCATCATCATCATCATCATCATCATCATCATCATCATCATCATCATCATCATCGTCATCATCATCATCATCATCATCATCATCATCATCATCATCATCATCATCATCATCATCATCATCATCATCATCATCATCATCATCATCATCATCATCATCATCATCATCATCATCATCATCATCATCATCATCATCATCATCATCATCATCATCATCATCATCATCATCATCATCATCATCATCATCATCATCATCATCATCATCATCATCATCATCATCATCATCATCATCATCATCATCATCATCATCATCATCATCATCATCATCATCATCATCATCATCATCATCATCATCATCATCATCATCATCATCATCATCATCATCATCATCATCATCATCATCATCATCATCATCATCATCATCATCATCATCATCATCATCATCATCATCATCATCATCATCATCATCATCATCATCATCATCATCATCATCATCATCATCATCATCATCATCATCATCATCATCATCATCATCATCATCATCATCATCATCATCATCATCATCATCATCATCATCATCATCATCATCATCATCATCATCATCATCATCATCATCATCATCATCATCATCATCATCATCATCATCATCATCATCATCATCATCATCATCATCATCATCATCATCATCATCATCATCATCATCATCATCATCATCATCATCATCATCATCATCATCATCATCATCATCATCATCATCATCATCATCATCATCATCATCATCATCATCATCATCATCATCATCATCATCATCATCATCATCATCATCATCATCATCATCATCATCATCATCATCATCATCATCATCATCATCATCATCATCATCATCATCATCATCATCATCATCATCATCATCATCATCATCATCATCATCATCATCATCATCATCATCATCATCATCATCATCATCATCATCATCATCATCATCATCATCATCATCATCATCATCATCATCATCATCATCATCATCATCATCATCATCATCATCATCATCATCATCATCATCATCATCATCATCATCATCATCATCATCATCATCATCATCATCATCATCATCATCATCATCATCATCATCATCATCATCATCATCATCATCATCATCATCATCATCATCATCATCATCATCATCATCATCATCATCATCATCATCATCATCATCATCATCATCATCATCATCATCATCATCATCATCATCATCATCATCATCATCATCATCATCATCATCATCATCATCATCATCATCATCATCATCATCATCATCATCATCATCATCATCATCATCATCATCATCATCATCATCATCATCATCATCATCATCATCATCATCATCATCATCATCATCATCATCATCATCATCATCATCATCATCATCATCATCATCATCATCATCATCATCATCATCATCATCATCATCATCATCATCATCATCATCATCATCATCATCATCATCATCATCATCATCATCATCATCATCATCATCATCATCATCATCATCATCATCATCATCATCATCATCATCATCATCATCATCATCATCATCATCATCATCATCATCATCATCATCATCATCATCATCATCATCATCATCATCATCATCATCATCATCATCATCATCATCATCATCATCATCATCATCATCATCATCATCATCATCATCATCATCATCATCATCATCATCATCATCATCATCATCATCATCATCATCATCATCATCATCATCATCATCATCATCATCATCATCATCATCATCATCATCATCATCATCATCATCATCATCATCATCATCATCATCATCATCATCATCATCATCATCATCATCATCATCATCATCATCATCATCATCATCATCATCATCATCATCATCATCATCATCATCATCATCATCATCATCATCATCATCATCATCATCATCATCATCATCATCATCATCATCATCATCATCATCATCATCATCATCATCATCATCATCATCATCATCATCATCATCATCATCATCATCATCATCATCATCATCATCATCATCATCATCATCATCATCATCATCATCATCATCATCATCATCATCATCATCATCATCATCATCATCATCATCATCATCATCATCATCATCATCATCATCATCATCATCATCATCATCATCATCATCATCATCATCATCATCATCATCATCATCATCATCATCATCATCATCATTTCGTTTATCAAATTATCCAAATCACATACTTGTTCTTTTTGAAAATAATTATCATTAACTATTTTCACTATTTGGTGTAAATTGATTCGATGTATTTTTTCGAGTCATCCTTTCACTCAATCTCTTACTTCCAGAATCTTTCAGAAACATTGATATTCACACTCTTCAAGTAAACGATCTACACGAGTTCAGTCATGGATGAGGTGTTGACTAATGAGTATGGTGGTTTCTCATATTAATGCTCTCTTATTTTTGTCTTTTATACTCCAACTCATGTTAATCTCTCTATTGAATTAGATTGATCTCCCGAATTCTATTCATCAAAATACTCATATATTCTCAACTGATTATTTTCAACCATTCTAATTACCTTAGTTTTATGTTTTATTCATCCAATTATAAATGTTTTACACTAATCATTCTCCTATTAACATTCATATGAATATCTACTCTGATTGATTGACATTTATGTAATACAATAGATATATATATACCAAGTATATAAATAAGATGCCGGCATTCTCTACATATATTCTTCATTCACAATTAATCTCTCACCAATGATTTATGTTACTATGTATATTATTATTTAGTTTATCAAAATAAAAATTCTTTTACAACAACCCACTCATCCATCCACCCCTTTTTATCCATAATCATTTCATTTCATTAATTCTATCCATTTAGTTATCAATTCATTAAAATGATTCCCTTGTAAGGAGAACAAACAAACAAACAAACCTCAAACGGAAGTATCCAGAGTAAATCTCTACTTTACATAAAACTAATCAATTGTATCCATTTTTTGTTGTTGTTGTTGTTCAAAGAATTTTGTTTTTCAGCCTTTTTTTTCTTTTCCTTTATTTAAAACATCTGTTCAATTGTCAATTATTCTTATTCTTATTGATAAATCAGCATGCGTATAAATAATATATGTAGTGCATGTGAATTTAGTGTTTATGTTCATTCGGAATATATGTTTATTTCTCTCTCTCTCGGTCTTTCTTTCTTCTCCCTTTCCCCCTCTCTCTCACCCTCTCCATCTTCATCTCTGTGATATATTGCCACGCCTAATACATAGACACAAGCGTTATACATACATACATACACACAGAGAGGGAGCGAGAAAGATTCTTTGTTCCCAATGTTTATTAAATCAATCAGTCAGAAGATATAAAAAATTGATCAATAGAAGTAATTTTATTGTTTATTTCTATTCGTCTAGTCTTTGTTCATGCATACTTCTTTCTTCTTCTTCTTCTTCTTCTTCTTATTGTTATTGTTGTTTTTGGTCAGTCTATAAAATAAATGACAGTCGTTTACATTAAACATCTACATTCACATTCACACACACATAGATACACACACAGAGATACAATAAAGATACCGGATTATTTCAATTTATAGTAGACTGTTATAGTTATGATTGGGACGAGTAATTATTTATCATTATTATGAATAATTATGAATCTATTTTACGTGATTTTATACATTTTGTATTAGCTATTTAATGTGAATAGTTTTTGTTTATAATGTAAAGAGAGATAGAGAGAGAAGGGATGTAGGTATATCCGGTTGATGAGTTCTAAATAGGACGAAATATGAGTCAAATTGGTTTCCAATACTAACCATTATTCATCTTTGTTTAAAATGACTTGTGACTTAAGGTTATCCACACAGGATGCATATATAGTAATAAGATACTGATGATCAATTACAATTCTAAATAACAATGGAAAGATTTAAGTTAACAATACCAAGTGAATTTAAAACTTCACCTCATTGCACAAGCAAATGGCATTTAGGACTCAGTAGCTAAGTGAATGATGGAATGGAGTTTGAAGCAAACGGAACTGAGTTCAAGTCCAGAGTGAACATCAACTCTAAAATGTAGGTACATTCAGCTGACGAGTCCTAAATAAAATGAAACATGAGTCAAATTGGATTCCGATACTAACCATTATTCATCTTTGTTTAAAATAACTTGTGACTTAAGGTCATATTGAAGCTATCCGCACAGGATACATATATGCTAATAAGAGACTGATGATCAATTGCAATTCTATACAACAATGTAAATGAAATACTATGATGGATTATTTATTAATGAAATTAACATTTACTCATTCCATATACTCATATAATGCAGCTTAAATCCTTCAGAGCATTGTGTTAATAATAGAGTTACTGGTTATGGATAACTTGTGGTAGTCGATTAAAAATTCTGTATTTAGATTCCATGCTAGTTCATACTAAACAACAAGACATATATACAATCTTAAAGAAACAAAAATTACCGGTTCATACCGAAGTGACTGAGCTTCACATTCTGAAACCTTACCACTAAACTATTTGAGCAGTTCGAAACTTCGTCAATGGAGTTACATCAACTTTGAGGACTAAACAAACATAAAATTGATTATTATTTAATAATCAACCAATGTAATTATTTCAGTCCTACAGGATGAGTCTAATTGCACTCGACTTTCCACAAATAGTTCTAGAAAATTTCCATTCTGACAGCTATTAGGAAAATTCATAACATACATCTCAAATTCTTTCGCTGAGATTTTACAAATACATTCTTTCTTTTTAATGTTTCACATGAATTCGGAGCCCAAATATTGTGAAACTATTCGTTCAAATGTAGACGAAAGTTCTTATTTATACATCTCTGAACTCCGAAGATTTATAACTCCCGTCAATCGTTTGTTGAAGTCTAGTATGAATAAGTAGAGATGAAACAAGTGACGACTAACCCTGTCATTTTAACTCTACACCAAACCATATACTCTAATACAAACACACTAAAAACATGATTACACAATCATATCTGCAATTGGTTAACAACAATAAGAAATATTCACGATGATTTGCATTAGAATATTTCTATCCAAGTTTTTACATAATAGATAAATACAACTGTATTAATTATCATGACAACATTTCTAATCTGTCTTCATGATGAATCAAGTTAACAGATATATAGAGATGGACAGTGTCAAACACAATTTCATTGTTCTAGTGTGAATATCTTCAAAGATATATTCATTGAATGTCGTTGAAACTCAAACCGTTTTTGCTGTTTCACAAGATTAGCTTCCATCATGGATTACATGTAAGTTAATCAATATAGTTAGCAGTTATATGCGAAATTTGTCTAATAATTCTAGTTCTAGTGAGAAGTCATGACCTGTGGAGTTCAAACAGGTCTGTTGTGAGATAGTAAGTCACTGAGCACAATAGTTGATGTTTCGCTCGATTTCGTGGATTAGTTGAAATTAGACATTAACACCGTTGGATACCGGCTCAATGATCTAATGGTTAAGCGTTGGCGCGCGAGACCGACAAGTCCTAGGTTAGAATCTCGCCGCGAGCAGGATCGTGGATGCCCACTGCTGAGGAGTCCCACAATAGGACGAAACGGAGGTTCAGTACTTCCAGATTATCAATCGTGATCTACCTTAGGTGGACTCATGAATTCAATCATTTTGTAATTCATCTGAATGAACTTTACCCCTGAAAATTAGGTTCTCTATTTGTTTATTTATATTAAATATTGATCAATAATTAGAATACAAATATCTTTCAAGAATAATTTAGTCAATTTCATTGTGGTTTTCAATCTTTTTGATATAGTAAAGAAATAATCTGTGAATATGAGATGATGGAGATGATTTATAGCTCAAGTGGATTAGTTTGTTGGATAGTCATTTGATCATGGAGCTTTCATTAATGAAAAAACTTTGAATAGGTTTATCACTAAGTGTATTGATATTTATCTAAATAAAGAATTCATATCTGAATGGGTTTTGTGGAGAGTTTTATAAATTTCATAGGTTGAAATCATGAGTCAGTTGAAGCTAGACCACCATTGAAAACCTGGAAGCACTGGACGGCCGATTCGTCCTGGTATGGGACTCCTCAGCAGTGCGCATCCACGATCCCGCACCACGTGGGGCTCGAACTCAGGACCTACTGGCTTCGCGCGCGAGCACTTAACCACTAGACCACTGAGCCGGCATCCAACGGCGTTAATGAGATAACAACTCACTGAAGACAATGGTGTACGGTGGCGCAACTTCGTGGATTGGTTGAAGTTATACATTAACACCGTTGGATGCCGGCTCAGTGGTCTAGTGGTTAAGTGCTCGCGCGCGAAGCCAGTAGGTCCTGGGTTCGGATCTCGCGAGGCTGGATCATGTATGCTCACTACCGAGGAGTCCCATACCAAGACTAATCGGCCGTCCAGTGCTTCCAGGTTTTCAATGGTGGTCTAGCTTCAACTGACTCATGATTTCAACCTGTGAAGAATTCATATCTATTCATTTTTAAATGATACAATGTAGGATAGGTGGTTTGTTTTGTTTTTTGTTTTAAACAGGATTCCATTTCAATTAATTTAGTTAATTTAAAGTAGAAAGAGACAATTTGATTTGTGATCTACACATGAATCACGATACATCTATGGACTGTATAATGAAGTTAACAATAAAGTGAGGTCAATATAATGAAATGCAAAAATGATAACCATCTAATATCCGTATTAATTTACTTTGGATGTATGTGTGTGTGTATGTGTGTATAAGTATAGCTTTGTGTATTCACAGTTGTACACATATTCATTACTATTTTAATCGATATGTGAATACTGAACAAGATGACAGATAAATAACTACACTTAAATAATTGATCGAAATAACTTCTTAACAGAATTCCCAGAGAACAAATGGAACAACTGCCCCAACGGCAAGAGATGATGATCTCATAATATGTCAAGCTGACATAGCTAGTTAGTTAGTTAGTTAGTTAGTTAGTTAGTTAGTTAGTTAGTTAGTTAGTTAGTTAGTTAGTTAGTTAGTTAGTTAGTTAGTTAGTTAGTTAGTTAGTTAGTTAGTTAGTTAGTTAGTTAGTTAGTTAGTTAGTTAGTTAGTTAGTTAGTTAGTTAGTTAGTTAGTTAGTTAGTTAGTTAGTTAGTTAGTTAGTTAGTTAGTTAGTTAGTTAGTTAGTTAGTTAGTTAGTTAGTTAGTTAGTTAGTTAGTTAGTTAGTTAGTTAGT